GCTTTGTTGAAAGCATCATGTACTTCCAAACCCAATGGTCAGGTTCTTAAATTATGTGTCAAAAACGGCCTACTGAGCACTTGTTTTACAATGACTCATGAGGCAACAGTCTTTTCTCTCCGCAGTTGTTCATATTCAATTCTATATAATATCACAGATGAGAAATTTCTAGAAATGCTGAAAGAAGACATAGTTATACTCAAACCTTTTTGTGGTTGTCTCTTCAGACATGATAAGATGATGCTGATTCCAAAAGAAAAAGAACAAAGAAAGTTGGATTATATTGATTTTGATTTTGTTCATAGGTGACTTTCTGAATTCCCTTGATTTTGATTTTCAGCTATACTCCTATATCAGATCCAGATTCCAAAGGATATTTTGATTTGTTAATTAAGGTGATTTTTAATACATTCTTCCATTTTGTTGTGATTTTCTTCAGTTGGATCTTGGAAACATGCTCAAGCATCAAATATGTAATGCTTCATGTAATTGCTTTTGAGCATGTTCTTCAAAATTTTGCAGGTGTATCCTGAAGGAAAAATGAGTCAGCATTTTGCCAGTTTAAAGCCTGGTGATGTGGTCGAAGTAAAAGGGTAGGTTAACCATGTTTAATAGTCATTGCTAGCATATATTTAACAACTAAACAGTTAGTCTCTTGCAGACCCATTGAAAAGCTCAGGTACTCTCCCAATATGAAGAAAAACATTGGCATGGTAAGAGCTCATTAACTAGGTGTTAACTTGAATTTCATCTTGCGATCAGTTAATAAAAGAATAGAGGAAGTTTTGATGATGTCACTTAAATTATATAGGAATTCTTGAATTACGATTTTGTATAGTCCGTTTACTATAAAAGTTCCCAAGAGAAGTAAAAGGGGAAATTTAATATTCAAAGAGCATTTCCTTCTTGTGCAATATGGATGGGAAGTAGGATAGTAGAAGAGATTGCCACCTTTATGGGCCAAATCAGTGAGTATACCTGGAGATAAGAAGAAAAAAGGTAGATAAACTTTTATGCAGTTCCTAGACTTTCTGTGTCAAAACTGCTTCTATCTCTTTTCCTTCTTGCTAGATTGGGAAGAAGTTATTACAGACAGTTTGGGAGTCACCTTTTTCTTTTGTTTCAGAATCTTCTCTTTGTCTCCAAAGTTGTATATAAATCTGCAGTTCCTATGAATAAAGCAGCATGCGAAATTTGTCTTAAAAAGTTTGAGTTCCATAAACTCAACGATGAAAGGGTTCTTTCTTTACGAGTCATTATCAAAGAGAGAGAAGATTTCTTCATTAACGGGCCCTTATTAAAGTGATTAAAGAGCTTTCTCTTAACGAGCGCTTACCCTCTTCCCTAACAATCCTATAACTAAATCTTATTCTGGGGACCTTTCAATTTTATTATCCATACTTATGTTGGTTGCTAGCCATGTGGTTTAGATGAGCTTTTACTAGATACCAAAATAAATCAATTCCTTATATCCATCTTAGTTTTTCAATATATATACATCTATCTGTTTCTCACAATTTATTTAAACGGCTATTCTTCTCAAAAGTATGCATTACTTTAGCAATATAACATGCTTTCTGAGTTAAATCAAACTCTTGCACTCATTCTCTCTGCCTATCTGAAATATATTTGTATTTTTATCTTCCAGATTGCTGGTGGCACTGGCATTACTCCAATGCTTCAGGTAATCGAAGCTATATTGAAGAATCCTGAAGACAATACTCAGGTGAGACTTTGTTATCATCTGTAGCTGCAAAATTAATTTATTTATCTTTTAGAATATTTTTACATTTTATTTGGGTTTTCCATGGATGCATATGTTCTCAACTCTCACATATTATTCAATAAAGACTGCTTTTGTTTTTCTTGGCTGTTGCTATCCCAAATTTTGAACTATGTTCTGTTGAAACTAAAACTAATGTTTGTTACCAGGATGTTGGATATGTAGTCATTCAAAAGGGAAAAGTATATGCTTACATCCAAAGAAACTGACATCATCTAATTTAATATAATTAACAGATATGTGCTTTTAAAGTCAATTGAGTAGTTCAATCCCTTTTTACTGCAAC